ATCATCCACATGCCTAAAACATGGTGCCATTCACTCGGCTTGGTTCTGAGACATCTTAGCTCGGAGATATCTATGTTCTGGAGCCTCCATCATCTAAAGCTCTTGGAGCACTTAGCTTAGGAACATCTCAATTTGGTTCCAACTAATGATTGCCTACCATTCCTAATTATGCGGACCGAATGCCCCCAGTATCAAAAGTTATAGGCTAGAAACCAATTTCGAAAGAAAATTCAAAATGCTGTAACTTTTGAACTAGTAGCCCATTCTTGGAACTGTTCGAAATTATGGATTCTACAGGCCACATTCTATAAGAAAATGTTTTTTCCCGCTCGATCTGAGACAATTTTTTTTTGCCAAAAAAAAGGCAGTGTATAACCTTCCTTTTTTACCAAAAATCAACTACACCAGAATTTCTCGGGAAAACACTTTTTCTTATTAATTTTGATGCGTAGAATCCAAAACAATTCGTACTTTTTGGATTAGATTTCTCAATCAACAGCGAGTATGAATCATTATAAAACTTCTGAAAATTCTAAATTTATTAAAAAGGTTTTTTTCCTTCGGCTTTGGGTGGTGTTGAAGTGAAAGTTTGTAGGGTGAGTAGGCTCAAACTGCGTCCGAAATATTTGGATTACCAAATAAAAAACCTAAACGAACTCTGACTTTTGAGCCTACTCACCCTACAAACCTTCACTCTAAATTTAATTTAGACGCCAAAAATAGCAAGCTTAGGTTCTGCCGTAGTTTCCATAAAAAATTGTTTCCTGCTCTTAGTTTACTTTATTTTATCTCTTGGACCGCGTCCTATTTTTAATAAGAATGACAGATGTCATTAAAATGCACAATTTCACTTTATCTACTCTTATTGTTAAAGAGAGACCCAGCCTACTCATTTAAACCTATTAAAATGCCAGTTTAACATCTGCTATAAAATAAAGAATTTTATACGCTTTTCTTTTTTCACATTTTAGGTCGAAGAAAGGAAGTATTATGGAATTTACCAATTCAGCTGGTAACATTTTTAGTCATATATTACTTTGGGGTGTGATAAGTGGTGATTTTAAAACTTTAAAGTTATTTAAGTATCAATTTGTGTCTTACATCACGTGAACATTTAATCAAAGGGGCGCGATGGCGAGTGGTGGTAGTATTGAAATAGATACATACTCGTATTACATAAAATAATTAATTATTACGTTATTCCGAGACTCGCTTTGCTATAAAGTTCTATTGTCAGCGGCAACCGGTAAAAATTTAAAGACAATTGTGCATTTTTTGTTTAACCTAATCATTATATTCCTAAAGGAACCGACCTGCGAAAATCAATTGCATGAATCAGATGTGTGTCGTATTTGTTGATAATAATCGGATACACACAAAGGTCTTTGCTTATATTTCTTATTAGTTGGGAATTTGTGTTTAACATCAGTGGTGCCATTCTTTTGGTTCGATTCAAATTTTGTTTAGTGTTTTGGCGCCGAGATTACGCAGTGTTCAGTGCCTAAGCGTACGGAGCCGAAAATTTCAGACCCGGGGCGTCCGTGTCCGTCTATAACCTACTCTAGAAACAAACTCTGTACCTGGTCTGTCGGTCTGTCTGTTTGTCGGTACGTTTGTACTCTCATTTCAGGCTAAACGGCTGAACCTATTGGAACCAAATTTGGTATAGGTACATATTCTTAGACATAAAAGGGAACAATCGTGCATGTGCAAGTGCAAGTAAAGATGCTCAATTATGCGAGTTGGTAACAGGATAATGTAGAATCATGGATAGAAGAAAAGGATTGGGGGACAACAAAGAGCAAGATACAGAGTAAATACATTGGAAGAACCAACCAATTCGCGAAGAGAAAAGAAACAGCAAAAGGAGATATCTTAACAAGGAGTAAAAAAAGCGATGGGGAGGGGGGGGTGACAACTATGGGTAGAGGTGGGAAGAGGAACACAGGAAAGAACATCAAGGAGATAAAGAGGGCAACAAAGAGGGAAAAGTGTTATTATTTTGTATTATCAGAAAAGAGGGGATGGAGAATTCTAAATAAAAATATGGAGGGAGGTAAAGGAGATGATGTGGAGTTGTATAGCGAGACTAGAGGAACAAAGAGAAGTGAGGGGGAGTACAGAGGAGAATTGGAAAAACATGAAAGAGAGTACTATAAAAAAAGCAATAACGTGGACACAAACTCAATTCAAAGATAAGGGAAAGAAAAAAGGAGAGGAGAAAGTGTACGGAAGAGATATGATATAGATAATGATGGACAAGGAAAGAACAGGGGAAATAGAGGAGAAAGAGTTGAAAGAACAGAAAAAAGTACAAAAGAAAATGTAAAGAAGAGAAACAGAAAGAGTATGAAGAGCAAATCAGGAAAATAAAAACAGAGAAAGGGTATACCAGGTTAAATTTTAAGGGCAGTTGACCATTATCCAGAGTTAGGTAGATTGGATTGTCTCAAAAGGCGACATCTAGCATGGTAAAAGAACAGTGGAAGGGAAATACATTTAGAGAAATTGAATATCAAGGTACTATAAGGAAATCAAGAGAAAGATGTAGGAGAACTAGAAAAGAGGAGATTGGAGGAGATGGGATAACAAGAGAGGAGATCGAGCAGCAAATCAAAAGAATAATGAGAGGGGAAGTGGAAGGAAAAGAGGGGGAGCGGCAGGAAGAGACGAAATAGGAAGCGAGGCTTGGATAGGGTCAAGGAAAGGATGAAGAATTTGGTAAATAGCATATGGAAAGGAGGGGACCCACCTGAAGAATGTAAGGAAGGGGTTATTGTGCCGATTTTCAAAAGGTGATACAGATTGTGTGTAAAATTATAGGTGAATCACGATAATGATGACGGCGTAGTAGAGAATATACGCGATGGTACTGAATGAAAGACTAAAAACAGAAATGGAACAGAAGAGGATGTTGGAGGAAACACACATGAGCTTCAGAAAAGAGAGGGAAACCAATCAACTGTATCCACAGATTGGGGGAAAAGGAATTGGATTTTTTATGGACCTAAAGGCAGCGTTTACACAGTGGAAATGGAAAAAGTATAAAAGATAAAAATAGACAAGAAGCTAAAGGACAGAATCAAGGAACAATATGGGCAGACAAGATTGAAAGTAAGAATAGAAGGTAGTGGATGATTTGGACATGTAAAAGACTAAAACAAGGATGTCGACTTGGCCTATTAACTTATTTAATCTCTACATGGGAAACATGGGAAAATTATTATGAGGGATCGTAATGGGAAGGAGGAAGATACGATCCCTGGTATACGCGAACGACGCAGTGATAATGGCAAAAGAGGTAGAACACATGAAGGAAGTTATGGGAAAAATGGAGAGGTCTAATTGGGGAATGAAAGCAATGGAGCTAAATGTGGAAAAGTTGAAGATGATGAGATTTTGGAGGGGAGTGGAAGGAAAAGGGAGAAAGGAAAAAATAGAGGAGGTCAGAAAAGTTAAATATCAATGAAAATAATTACCAATGGATAAATGGACACGGACGCGCTGAGGACGCACGGATGAAAGGATAGGAGAAAATATGGAAACTGACAAAAAGTGACTTGGGTGCACAAATACAACAGAGGTTGAAGATAGAGAACGTATGAGCAAGTAGTAGTTAAAGATCTAATAAGGAAGCACCAAAAGGACACCAAAACACTTATCGGAGGGAAGTAAAAGTATTAAAATATTGGCGAGATTCAGATGTGGAAGTGAGGAGAGAGGGAAAAAGAAAGAAAATGTAGAGGGCCGAAGAGGCGAACCCTTAGGTTTATGTTGTTATAGTTTAATTGTTTTTGCCATTCTTGCGTCAAATAAATTTGATGTAAATTAAGAATCAGAAATGTACTCACCACCTGCATTACGTCAACGAAAAGGATATTTTGCAAAAGGACAAAATATGTCGAACTGTAGGCAATTACTAAGAATCTTCCAGAATTTTTATTAAAATTAAAATTCAAAGCTCGAGAAATACAGGAAAAGTCAGAAAAATGTATCTAAAGTAAAGTAAAAATTGTGATCAGTATTAATAGTACAAAGTGAATGAATTAAGTACTATGTAAAAAACTGAGTGTTAGTGGGAACCAAAACAAACAATTTTCTCCAACCAATATCAAGGTCCAAAGCTTCCACGCTTCCAAAAATTAATAAATTTCCGTTTATTACATTTTTTCTCAGTAACCATAGCACACAGGAGAAGAGCATTAAAGGATTTGCCCTTTCTAGTTTTGCAAATATTTTTCCAAGACCATCCCTACGCGGGGGTGCGGAAAAAATTCTAATCTCTACGTCCTGATGGTCCTGGGTACCTTTGAACATGAAAATATAGAATACTTTAAAAATTTTCATTTGGAATAAGCGCACTATGAAAAAATCGTTAATTACTAATTAAATACGGCTCGCCACAAGAAAAATGCTTCCCTCTAGTATTCAATGAAGTGCCAGAGAAAAAATATTATACCAACTTGCTTTTTCTCAATATTTGATTGGCGCATGCGCGAGCCCTTCTTGATCAGTCGGGCATTTAGTCAAATATTTTTAGGTGAATCCGAAAATGAAAGTCCTATGAGAAGGCTGTTTTGGATGCTTTAGTTTCAAGTCTAAAGATATCCACGTACCAAATTTCGTCTAGATAAGAAACCGATACATTTTGGACCTTTGGTTTTTCTAAATCGACCATCATGTCAGAAACTTTGCAATGGGCGCATCTGAGATAATAGATTTGATTGCAAATTATGTATGTAATGTAATGTAAGCACTCAATACGACGTACCTGCCCAGATCCATAAGTGTATCCGATGTAAGCACAACCTTCTGAGGCTCCGTCTTTTCTTTCTTGATATCTTTCGTTCCACCGGCACCCGGTTTAATTGTCCACACTAAAATTATTCCAAGTACTACCGCGCACACAGTTGTAGTCGCATAAAAAATAATCGAACGTAACGCGATCTTCTTAGATAAACTTAAATCGAGAGCTCCAATTGCAGAAATGACGGATGAAGTTAATAAAGGGATGATCAGCGCCTTCAGCATTCGTAGAAATATGTCCCCCGGAAACTTGATATACATAACTTCCCTTTTGGACCATGGTCTGTCACTCACGTTGGTAAGTATCAGGCCAGTTATCGTTCCTCCAATGACACCAACTACCGTTAAAATGGTCAGAAGACTATGCCGCGTTAAACAGTTGATTTTCGGCAGTGGCATTTCTTTCTGAAATTAAAAAAAAACTGAATTATTCTCTGACAAAAATAATGTTGAGGTACCTTCAAGACGGAGAAACCGCGCATTGCTCTTCACCAATTCAGAGATCTGTCTATTTTAAATCTAATTCTTCGCTAACTGTGCTCCTCGAGGAAATCTATTTTAAATGGCACGCGACGGCAAATAAAACCGTTCTAACCAAAATATCCTAAATAATGAAAGGGGGGTAAATTGCGACAGAGAGCAACCTGTGGCGAAGAACACAAGCTAAAGAATGCATTTATTTTAAAATTGTGTTATTCGAAACCGCGACTGTGAATTTTCAATTCTCGATTTTTTGCCAAAAATTTCCTTTGAAATTTAATTAGAAGTTAGACCAATGAGGTATTCTGTTTCTGGTTTGAATAAAAGATATACGAAGCTGACATAAACATGATCTCCAAAGTTTTCTGCTGGTGATGGATTTCAATTATTTCACCCATTCTTCGAACTAATAAAAAAACTCGAGTGTGCGCCATTTTGAATCCTAGTAACACAAGTTACTATGGTTACTATTGAATACGGGTACACAATGGAAACGACATTATATTGGCAAAAAATAAGCTGTCGGTGGTAATTTGAACGGTATTGATTTTAGTTTTACATTTTAATAGCGAGGCAAAGTGTGCACTTTGCATTCTACCCGGACGGTGTTATACAGAATTTTAGGTTCGAAATGAACTGCATTATAAAAAGTTCCCAAGTGAACAAAGTTTTCTGGAAGTTTCTGAGCGCTCATCCCATCATTTTACAATATGTACTAATTTACCCTGCTCTGTCGTATTAAATAAGAATTATCCAGAACGTATCGCCTAATGTCGTTCATTTCGAGCCTCAATTTCTACAGAAATTTCCAAAATTAATGCCAAATTTCATTAAAATATCTAAAGTGGTATTACAGATATTAATAATAAATGATTTATTTTTGAAAACTTTACCACCCTGTATCTCAAAAGTTAAGACATTTAGGACATAGGTTCATACGAAGCTTTCTTTTCAAAATGGACACAAAATTCGCCCCGTAAATATTGACAGTCAATTATAAAACACCCCGTATATAATATATAAGTAATATGGTAATAGGGTATTTAGTACAACGCTGCTTCAACGTGGAGACGGTATAGTTATTTTAACATTATGATTATTATTACTATTACTAATTTTCTTATAGAATGTGGCCTGTAGAATCCATAATTTGAAACAGTTCCAAGATTGGGCTACTATTTCAAAAGTTACAGCCCTTTGAATTTTCTTTCGAAATTGGTTTCTAGTCTATAACTTTTGATTGAGAAGTCTGATCGAAAAAGTACGAATTGTTTGGGATTCTACGCACCAAAATTAATAAGAAAAAGTGTTTTCCCGAGAAATTTTGGTGCAGTCGATTTTTGGTAAAAAAGGAAGGTTATACACTGCCCTTTTTTGAGCCCCGAAAAAAAATTGTCTCAGATCGATCCGGGAAAAAAATTTTCTGATAGAATGTGGTCTGTAGAATCCATAATTTCAAACAGTTCCAAGATTGGGCTACTAGTTCAAAAGTTACAGCCCTTTGAATTTTTTTTTCGAAATTGGTTTCTAGTCTATAACTTTTTATTGAGAAGTCTGATCGAAAAAGTACGAATTGTTTTGGATTCTACGCACTAAAATTAATAAGAAAAAGTGTTTTCCCGAGAAATTTTGGTGTAGTCGATTTTTGGTAAAAAAGAAAGGTTATACACTGCCTTTTTTTGAGCCCCGAAAAAAAATTTGTCTCAGATCGACCCGGAAAAAAAATTTCCTTATAGAATGTGGCCTGTAGAATCCATAATTTCAAACAGTTCCAAGATTGGGCTACTAGTTCAAAAGTTACAGCCCCTTGAATTTTTTTTCGAAATTGGTTTCTAGTCTATAACTTTTGATTGAGAAGTCTAATCGAAAAAGTACGAATTGTTTTGGATTCTACCCACCAAAATTAATAAGAAAAAGTGTTTTCCCGAGAAATTTTGGTGCAGTCGATTTTTGGTAAAAAAGGAAGGTTATACACTGCCTTTTTTTGAGCCCCGAAGAAAAAATTGTCTCAGATCGACCCGGAAAAAAAAGTATACAAATACTATACCTACAAAGTATTCGTTTACTTCTCAAAGTATTCAAATACTAAATATTTGTGAAAGTATTTGAGTTATAAATACAAATACTGCTGCCATAAAAGTATTTAATTACAAAGTATTTGAATACTTTAAAGGATTTGAATACTAAAAAGTATTTACAAAATCGAATACTGCCCAGCTCTGTAGTATATGAAACTTTTGAAAGTAACGAAGGGGTTGATTTATTTTTCATAAAATGTTACGAAAATGATAAAGTGGAACCAATAGTTCTAGAGATATAGTTGATTTTATAAAAGAGATGGCAATCATGGCTTTTCTACATCCTAATATATGTGTCTAACCGTGGTAAAAAGGAAAATTGGTACCCCTATGTTATACCATTTCCCTAAATTTAGCCAGTTGGCTCATATATTATATATACAAGCTTGGTTGACAAGTAGAAACGGGGAAACGGAAGTGAGGAAAGAAAAAGGTTTTAAATAAGCGAACTGGAGGTTAAACGACTCTTTTTGTTGGATAAAAGATTGTTGGTGGGGATTTTTTTTTGGTAGAAGCCTTGAATCGATTTTTTATACCCTCAAACGCAACTGTATTTGAGGGTATGTATTTGCAAAACAGTTAGTTTTGCTGTCATCAAATAAATTTATGTCATCTGTTAATAGTATTGGTTTTGTGATTAATTGAACCCAAAATTACGACCAGTCTTCTTGATTTTGTTATTTCGTAACCAGAATTTCATCAGGTGTTAATTAAAAGTTTTTTAATTAATTCTTCGGAATTTTCGAAAATGTTAAGGCTGATGAATTTTTCAAATTACTAACATTTACCTCCACCCTAGAAGAACATACTTTTGTTAAACCGCACCTTTAGTGTCAATTTAACTGTGAAGTACCTACTTTGGTTTAGAAGACACGGTGATCTTTGTTTTAATTAGGCCCCTGTATTATCCTAGTCACCTTATAAAATAAAATAAATGTAAACTTGTCCGGAAGAAAAGTAAAATAGAATGTCTGGATCCAAATCAAAGTGGTCCACCTACAATTGAGATGAAACCGTTTAGAAAGATCAACGATTTCTCGTTTATTTTTACTTGAGGCATTTCAACAGCTGAAAACGAACGTTAACCGAATGGGCTCTTTGCCAAAATTTTGCTTGTTCTCAGGGTCGAATATGTTTTCTTATTTGATGCGAGTTCTTTCACTTCAAAATTGATCTCTTTTAATACATTCTTTAGAAGTATCCTAAGTGGTTGGACGAGATGACAAAAGCAATACATATGCGCCACTTTTGTGGGGTAAAGATGAGGAATAAGCAGTTTCGTAAACCAAGGATTTTCTTGCAAAACTTACTAAAATATACACAAACAGCTGCATGCCACAAAACTATGGAAATCGGACACGCGTTATGAAATGTGGCCACCTACTAATCTATAATGTTGAAATAGGCAATTATTGCTGCCTTTTTTGCTTGGATTGTGTTACTCGGATAAAATTGAATTTTTTGGAGTTGTTTGTACTGCTGTCTGTCTGTCCGTGTGCACGATAACTTTGTTTAGAAATGTCCGATAGCTTTGATAATTGATACACGTCATGTTTTTCAGGATATAAGAAAGGTCGCTATTGTTTTTCGGCTACGTAGACTAACGGGCCAAAAAGTTACAGCCCAAAAACTGCCCAAACCTCCAAAAATGGCTTCTTTTATAATTCTTCTTACAAACTTACTGTTTTCTGTGTTAGTAAATATTCCTTAAACCTCAAGTAACTATGCAGATGAATTAAAAAAATTGCGCACCCAACTTTTTTACTTGCGCATGCGCAATTTCCTTTTATTCATCGAGTGACGAAACCGCTGGTCAAGGTGCAGGAACGATTTTACTGGGTAATTTACCCAGTAAACAAGATGTGAAGGAATGGTGCAAAAAATGTGCGGTTTTGGTCATAAGCAACGCTCCCGTAGGGAAGAAGAAAGCACCAAGAGGCATTATAATGTGGGTAATCCAACTTAAACGGACGCTTATGTTGTGTCTTTTGAGGTTGCAGACTATTAGTTAACTTTACATGTCTTTAGGAATGCCGTCCGATCCAGGATTGGCTGATACGAGCTGAGACGCCGGTTTTTCGTGGTGGTGGTTGATTTCAGGTGATTCCGAATCCGAAGTAGTTTGTGGTGGTTGCAAGGGTGGCTGGCGATTGGGGTATATATCGACGTTGGCTGTTCTCAACTGGTTCGTGTGTCGTTGAGCCGGTAACCATTATTAAGTTCAACTTGGTAGTGGTTTTTGGTTTAAATTAACAGGATGGTGGAAAGCGGACATAAAAATCGAAGTAGCCAAGAAAAAAGGCTTTGGAAGTGTTTTCTTAAAAGTTAAACAAACATTTTTTACCTTTTTAGTATTTTATATTCTATCAAAAGAAGCAAAAAGAATTTTCTCTTTCGCGGCCATAGTAAATTAGTTGATATTTTGAAAAAATAAGACGGGATTCTAAGGAAATGTTGGAAAATAGTTTTTTATTATGAGAATTTTGTTGTGTCATGTAGAAACTAGAGACATGTAAGGTAACCTGCTGATGAAAAGTTCATCTTTTGGTGATTTTACAATGATTTTATTAATTTTTCTATTGGTGATCGATTTCGACTTTACATAAAGCAAAAATAGTATTGACAGTGTTGAACCAACATACCTAATTGGACTGTAATTTTACCATATTTTCCAATATATTGTTTCTGCATAGTAAATATTGTTTTAGCTCAACCTGATGATGACTTGTAAAGTTGAAATCGATGGGATATTTAAAAATTAACAAAACTATAGTTTGTTCCTATTCGATTTGTAACTACTACAATGGAGAATGTCATCTGCAACATAATTCAATTAAAATGTACAAC